AATAGGAAGCAATAGGCCAGCTCCAAGTCCCAGAGTCACTCCCAGCAGGACCAGAACAGGGCACTGCATAGCCTTTGCCCACCAGAGTTCTTTTTAAACCTTTTGGTAGCCTGGGTGTCCTTCAAGTTTGCCTTCACGTTGACCCCAACTTATATAAATCCTATCCTAGGGTTTTCTTGGCAAGCTTTGTTCAGAGCAGCTTCTTCTGAGGCTGAGAGGGTGTGACTTGCCCAAGGTCCCCCAGTGGGTTTCTGCGGCCAAGAGTGGGTGGTGGATTTGAACCCTGGTCTTCAGAGTCATAGTCTAGTGCTCAAACCACTACACTACAGTGGCTCTAAATGTAATGTATAAAAGTGAAAGGGAGAGAAGCCTCTTTTGGCACAGTGTCCTTCAGAAAACATTTAAAACAACAACTTTTGTCTCCTGACTTCCTGGAATTCTGTATTCTAGATATCTATATTAGACTGCTGGCGTTCAGCTAGTGTGCTGCTGTTTTGCTGGATCTGTGACTTTTAAGGGCAAAAATGATCTTCATTGGCACTCTCTTGAACATTTAAAGCTGAAAGGTGAGGCAGAAATGTTTAAACAAACAAATAAAACATGTGTATAGCATGTGTTACGCAGGTACACGTGCAAAGGGGCTTGAATTGGCTGTGGTTTTCCAACTACCGGTAGTACATATCCCAGTGTAAATCTAGATGTATTGTTATGTAGTGTGCGAAGCAAATCCCTCTTTAATTTCCTCTGACTTTTCAGCTGCGTACTGGAAAAACTCCTTGGGTGATTTCGGCCACAAGCCTATGCTTATTAAATTGAGAGTCAATTCTACTGTGTCCCTTGGGACTTCTCAGTGAAAATGCACAGAGACCCTTGCACCTGAATTAGACGAGACTTGCTTAATCAGTTGGAATTTGTTTATGCTTGAGCAATTCCCATTGATTCACTGGATCTACACTAGTTAAGATTAAAAACTGGATTTCAGCCTTGGAGCTAATGTAAATACACTTATAGGGTGAGCAGGTACTTTTAAAGAAGTCTGGGTGTTCCTTTTTTACCTGCCAGACACACCCAAGAAGAACATTTGCACAGGAGTCTTTTCTGCATGCATATGAGTCTCATAAGTGATAACTATGAATTACTGTTTTGCCAGTCACTTATAATGTATGTATCATTTGTCAGTTCAAGACAGAAAGTGGAAAAGCGTTGACTTAAAATTGGCTAATATTCCAGTTATGGACATGGTTACATTTGAAACTGGTTACATTTCGGACAGCTCCCACTCTCTGTTTTATTCATATAATTTTTATGGAGAAAGAGTGCTTGTTTTGTTTTAATTTTCGTAAGGCTTTCATTATGATGTGGACTATGAAATGTATTGTGTCTCTGAATACCATTTACATCTAAACTATCGGTTCCTTTCATGCCTACGTGTATATGCACAATGCATAAGATTTCACATTCATATAGGGCAGAAAACATGAACCTTTGATTATGTGATTCAGAAGCAATAGAAATATTGTTTAGGAGAGGCCAATTAGAGAAGGCTGTAGTAAAACCTCTGAAATAAAGTGTTGTTATTTTGGGAGGGTGAAGGCAAAACAGCATCCCTGGTGTATTATCCAAAGCTGTTGCTTATAAGATAATCTTTGGGTGATGTATAGTTCCTTTCTGTTTGCATATTTAAATTAGAGAAATGTTGGCAGTGAAATTATTCCCAAGCTCCAAAAATATTTATCTGTATTTTTTCCACTTAGAAGCTGACCTGAGTTTTGAATTTGTCCAATTTGTGATCATTCACTAAAGCGGAATAAGAATTAACTGGATATTTGCAAAACTGAGTTATAAGGCACCACACTCCATCTTGAACTCCCTTTCTGACTTCCTGCTCACATGGTTCTCTTATTGTCAGCAACAGACTTATAGAAGCTATTATTGCAAGGGATCAGAACAGTTCATCGTTTGCTCAAACAAAATCTCTTCCTCTGCTCAATCAATGCAAGTAACTTTACTTTTTGTTTTATTTTTTCCATTTGCTAAGGTCCAAATTGCTTGTCAGTGGAATGGCATTGGGTATTCTGAACAACGAGGCTTCCTTTCCCCCAAATATAGTGTTTTAGCGGCGATCCAGAAGCAGAAACTTATCTATATCTGTAGTAGGACTAGGAATTGTTTGGCCCTTCAGATGTTTTTGAATGCAACTCCCAGAAGCCTCAGACAATGCAGCCAATGGTGAGAAATATTGCGAGTTGTACATGAACAACATCTGGAGGGCTGCACAAAACACCCTGAGCTATAGGCTGGTATCATAGAGCTCTATGAAGGTTGCAGTTCTCTTTTGTGGACCAGAGGTATTCTTCCAATATCAGCAGTGTCACTAACTGTGTGTGTTCACTTGAAGACACTCTGTGATACTTTACATCCACATGGATAATGCACAAGTGTGATAAATATTGCAAATATGAGATTTAAAAAGCCTCCATGTAGAAAGGTCTTTGGAACTGAGTCCTTCACATAGGGAAATCTGAGCCTCTATTGTATCGTCTTTTTAATTAAAACATGTGTCCATTTTACCAATTGCTCATCAGTGTTAAATGCAGGTATCATTCTTATAAACACTGCTGCAGCATTACTCATTTGTGTTCTCTGTCTTTTTCAGGTCTAATGCAATGAGAACCTCTACCAGATGGAGTGCAGATCTGCACAGAACTGAAGAAATGAGGTAGCACCTGAAATCTGGGACTCTGTATTATTATTCCTTTGTCTATTATGGGAGCATCATTTTTGTTTGGTCTCATGTTGGGGCTGCTGCCCTTAAGAATCAATGGGAACACTTGGCAATGCCCACGTATTTCCTATAACCTGACTAGTAATTATTCAGTGAAATACAACATCCCTACATTCATCGCAGAGAGTTATATCCAGAACATAGTAAGCTATGAGCCTGCTAATGCTATCTTTGTTGCAGTTCGTAATAAGATCTACATATTGAATTCAGAGCTAAAAATCCTCTCCAGCATAGTGACTGGGCCCTGGGGTAGTGCCAATTGTACAATCTGTGCCTTGTGCCCAGTGAAAGGACCAATGGATTTTGAAGACACAAATAATGAAGTGTTGGTGATGGATCCTTCTGAACAATGGCTTTACAGTTGTGGGAGTTCTCAACATGGAATCTGTTTCCTGCATGAAATTGAGATAGTGGACAATGTTGCTTCAGTTACAGAAACCTCATGCTTGTATTCAGCTCAGCTTAACAAACCTTTTGAGTGTCCGGATTGTGTGGCCAGTCCCTTAGGCACTAAAGTTGTAGTTATTGATCAGTCTGCTTCGTACTTTTACATTGCATCTTCTATCAACAGGAGCACCGCAGAGACATATAGCCCCAAATCAGTGTCTATACGGAGACTGAAGAGTACACTGGATGGGTTTTACCATCCTTTCCACTCCTTGACTGTGCTACCCGAGTATCAAGACACATACCCCATTGACTATGTGTATTCCTTTAACAATGAGGACTATATATATTTCTTAACGGTCCAAAGAGAAAATCTCAACTCCAGGTTGTACCACACTAGGATAGTACGGCTCAGCACTAAAGAGAGTGAAGTACGCAAGTACCGTGAGCTGAACTTGGAGTGCCGTTTTGGGCACAAGCGAAAGAGGAGCCTTGTAGTGAACCCTAGGGAAGTAACCTTTAATATATTGCAGGCAGCTCATGCTACCCAGCCTGGCACAAAGCTGGCTGAAGAGCTTACTCTGAGTGTCACAGAACTGGTTCTCTTTGGTGTGTTTGCTGAAAGCCAAGCAGAAAGCAAGGTGCCCCAAAGGAACTCTGCAGTTTGTGCTTTTCCAGTGAGCAAGATCAACGAAGCTATTGAAAATGGAATGACAAAATGCTGCAGCTCAAGTTTCCATGACAAGATCTTTCGAGGTCTATCATTTTACCAGGATATGGAGTACTGTCCACATAATGTAAGTACCCACATCAAAAACTTTCTGTTGTTTTGTT